CTCCTGTAACTTCTGGCTAACAGCTCCAGCTTCTGCACCAGGAGGAATTGCTGGGCTTTCCCAGCAGATTGCTGGCAGATAAGCTGCCATTAGTCACCAAAGCTCTGCTCTGCAGGATCTCCTCTCACCTTATCCACCTTATCACCTGCTGTTTGGGATACTCTGAAATAAATGAACGGGAAAGAATACAAGGTGAAAACAAAACAAACCCAAAGACTCTGCATGTAAGCGTTAATCTGGATCCATCTTGTACCTGACAGGAGGTTGTACTGAGCTGGGGTTGGTCTTTTCCTCCTGGTAGCAAGTGACAGCACGGGAGGAAACAGCCTCAGGTTGTGCCAGGGGAGGTTAATGTTGGATATTTAGAAAAATTCCTGCGTGGATAGAGTTGTCAGTCTCTGGGCAGCGGTGGAGTCCCCATCCCTGGGATTTAAAAGCCATGTGGATGCGGCACTTGGGACATGGGTTAATGGCAATGCTGAGGAAACTGCTGGATTTGATGATTTTACAGAACTTTTCCAACCTAAATGATTCTGTGTTTCTATGAACACAATGATTAATAAGTTACATTACGGCAGAGGGGAAAAAATGGCCTGACAGCCAATGCCTGCAGCCAACTCCAGCCCCCTCCTGAGGGAAATCATGCACAGCCTCAGCACCCTCTGACAGACAAACACCTCCTCGGGATGTCAGGCAGCTGAAAATTTACATTTCAGCACCAGCTTTACATTCAAGCAAACGGCAGGGCCACTGCAGAGCAAACACGAGTCCCATTACCTCAGAGCACTCGGCATGCAAAGCACACTTCAGGGCTGGGGGTGGGGGGCGAAGGAGATTGCAGGAATTTTTTCCTGAAATGGAATGGGGAGATAAGATCGAGTGAAAAGGAGCAGAGGCTGCTGACATATCTAGACTCCCAGAAGCCAGTAAATATGCAAATGGGCTGCCATTTCTGCCAGTAACACTCAGAACCAACTTTGATTCTGCTAAAACATACCGCATTAAACAAGGGAGATAAGCCCGGCACTGAATCCACACAGAGCAGCTCCCTTTGACCAAGACAGCTTTACTTCTCACTCCAGGAAATCCTGAACAATGCTTTCTATTCAGAGTCTCCACTCTGACTATCACAGTGTTTATGAATAACTTTGGCCATTTACCTTTTAGTAGTCTGATTTGCAAGTGCTATTAAAAACTCTACACAAAGTCATAAACCACCCTGGAAAAGCTGCATCCATCCAGTGCCAGTGACAAATCCTTCCCCAAACCAGGACAGGGCTTGCTGCCCCGAAGCCACAAACAGCAAATTTCACATGGGATGTCAGAGAGGAGAAAAAGAAAGGGTGTACTGAGTGTGCATCCCTGGAGACAGATTTACAGAGCAAGAACTGAAGCTGATGTGACCTGATAGCGATGATAAACTCAGGAGATGATAAAGGCATTCCCTGGACATCCACCCAGGGCTTGTCCTTGGGGTTTGGACAGACACACCACGCAGAAATATGGACGCATGAAAATATTAAATACAGACATGATTTGTTCTCATGTACATGAAGTACATACGTGTGAAATAACAGACGTATATTCAAACACCAGAGGCAAGGAAAGCATTTCTTATTTTCACTCCATTTTATCTGCCTACCACCTCTGAATCAGCAAGATGAGCTCAAAGGCCAGTGCTGGCTCTAGCCTGAGGTATACATTTTGCACATTGCTAAACAAAAGCAAAAGCAGCCCTGCCCTGCCACAGCAGGGGCTGAACTCAGCCTGGATAACTAATTCCATTCAATGAGACTGTTCCCTAAGAGAGGGAAAGCAGCACAACCTGCAGCCCTCCTCGACAGCCCTTGACTGCTCTTCTGAGACTCCAGCACACAGGCAAGAGTATCCAGAACTTCAAGCGACCGTCAGCATCAAAAAATAAGCACGTACAGAAGCCAGGGAGATGCAAACAATAAAACCCAGACCTTTGCAGACTGAATAAGCCTCCCACATGTGGCACAATACAACAGGAACGATTTCCCCAGCAAAGCCAGGCAATGCAGGGAGATGAAAGCTCCAGTTCTCCAGGAGCAGGACCTGCAGGCAGCAGGGAGGCATCAGGAATTCCCAGGAGCAGGAACCCAAACCTGTGGCAAACACAGCAGAGAGCAATCCAACAGGAGGTGGCTGGAGAAGGCTCCCAGTGCAGCAGGAAGGTTATGACCAAGCAGGTTTGCTGGCAGGAGGAGAAGCAGAGACACGGACAGGGCTGAGAGGGCCTGCTCCAGGAGAGAAGAGCCGAGGGAGGAGGGAACAGCCCAGCAGCTGGGAAATGCCAGCCCAGGGAACACCTGTTCATGGACTGAGCTCAGTCCATGCCCCTTCCATCCCGGCCAGCCCAGCAGTGCCCTGGCAGGAGAACAGCAGGACCTGGCCTGTGTTTGCCTGTGTTTCACAGCCACACTCGCTGGCTGGCTCCAGCATGTGCTCAGAACTCCCTTATCCCTATCCCGAGGCTGCCATAATTCCCATTTTAGCTGCCAGTGCTGGGAAGGAGCCTCAGAGCTATATGCTGAGGCCCTGGAATTTAAATATACGATAACACTGTAAATAAAAGGAAACAAATTCCTTAAGGAAAACCTTTTCACATGCCAGATCAGTTCCCAATAGTAACTGCTCTGCTTTGACAAGAGATAAATATTTACAGTCTGAAACAGAGAACACCTTGTGTTGCAATACTGGAACGCAAACCTTGTCAGTCTCAGTATCCTGAAGAGAGGGTTTTGATATTTTAAAGAAAAAAATTAGAAATAAACCCCCAAGCTGAGCACTTAGAAGCACACACACATTATTGTGCTCATTTACCCCACCAAAACAAAAACCTGAAGCTAGTCACACAAAGAAATTGTCAAACATGCTGAATCCAGAACAGATTTTCTCAAAAGGAGACCTCATCCCCCAGGGAATGTAGACAGTTTACAGCAAAAGTCTAAATTATTGCCAAAAATATGCTGCTTTTTTTATTTATTTAAATATAGTCTAAGTTGCTCCTCTTAGACATTCCGCCAATGAATGCAGACACTGAAGATTTTTCCTACTGGAGCAAAAAGGCAGCAAGGAGGATCAGATGTCCATATCCAGCTCCTTGGACTGGGGCATCCCACACCAGAATGCCCTCAGGAAGAGAAAGGCCAACAGCTAAAGCCTGAGCTATCTCTGCACTTCCAGCATGACTCCCAACCTCTGGGCCTGATCAGCTCCTTCCAGCTAAGGAAAGAATGTGGGGAATGTCATTCATACTGGCACTTGGGAAGATCCAGGCATGGGAAGTGCACAATGGCTGGATATCCCTGTCTGAGGAGGGAGACAAGCCTGCTGCAAGGAGATGCTCTCATTTCTGCCCAGCTCAGGTTGCTCAGGTTTGCTGCCATTTTAAATGAGCTGAACACCTCATTAAACATGAGTGCTTTTTTTTGCTGCACTGTCTGAGCAGCCCAAACACCAGTTTCTGAGAGGACCTGCACGAGGCCAGCCTGGCTGAGCAGGATTTCATATCTGAGGTGCAATTTTCCTCACCCAACTGCTGTTGGGGCTTTTATGGCCCGCTCCCTTTGAAGTGGGGCAGCCAGAAGAGTTCAATGTCTACCTGCCACACTCAGTTCCCTCACTTCCTCCTCCCCTTCCCAGGGAATTATTCCCCTGGGCAGCACTGTCCTGCCTTGGCCTGGCTGCTGCTCCACAATCCCATCCCTGCAGTCAGCCAAGCCTTATGTTCCGTGCTTAAGTTCTCCATTTGCTCCCCTGCTTCCAGCATCCCTGCACAGCAGTTTATTTTTAGCCCAGCATTTTTAGAGCAAAGCCCAGAAGCAGCACACTTTCAGTGCCAAACAAAATTCAGCTGTGACTCTAATGCTGTCAGCTGACAGGAGGACGCTTGGGTTTGGTGGCCACACAACACTGGGGTGACTCTGTGGCTGCCACCCAGGGCCACTGCTGGCCCCTGTGGGCTCTCCCAGCTGCACACACCAGTGGCCCTGGGCTGCCACAAGGGACGGTGACTCTGCCACTCCCTGGGCAGCTCCTTCCAAAGCCTGACAACTCTTTCAGGGGAGAAATTCCTCCTGATGTCTACACCAAATGTTGGGACACAGAACTGTGCTGACCCAGGAGAGGCCAGAGCCTCCCCCTTGCAGGTCCACATGAATGTTTGCAGTTTGGGGTCACCACTCACAGCCAGCTCAAGGCAAAGGGGACATCCCTGCTGGCCTTAACCACCAATACAGACAAGGAGAAGTGCCCCAATGTAGAAAGATAAACCTGAGGCTCCTGCTCAGGTTTATCATCAGCTTTCTGCGGTCAGAGGTGGTTTTCAAGTTCTAAATACTAATATTTGCCTTCTTTTGACTATAGCTTGTTGTTTCAGTGCAACTATAGAATAACAGAATCAGATCCAGCAGGTACCACCACCACCTTTTTCTGTTGACAGAACACAACTTAGTAGAGGCAACAGCAGTAAGAGACACCCAGTCACAGCAACTGAGATGAACAAAACCATGTAATCTGTGTAAATCCACCCAAAATCTGCAGGGATGGCTCAGAAAATTGCACAGTAAAAGGCTTTTCTACTGTCAACAGCTCACAGAATGTCCTCCTGAACAAGACTGCAATGACAAGGCCATCTTCTCCAAGGCATAAAGCAGCCAGTGACAGAGCCACACTCTGCCCTGAAATCACATCAAGCCTTTTTGCCCACTGACCCAGAAGTCTCCAGCTTTTCTGCAGGTTCGATAATTTATAACACAAAACCTCAGATTGCTTTTTCCTGTCACAAGCTGATGGTTTTTGCAAAGCTTCAAGCAGGAAGTGTTTTTCCTAATTCTAAATATTTCATTCACTTGTTATGATTAAGCCCATCCTCAAAGACTCCATCTGAGGCTGAAGAGGGATGAAAAAGGGGATGAAGAAAAGCCTGACAAGGAGAGGCAAACACAGCCCCCAAGGAAGCATTAGGTACCTACCATGTACAATCAGAATAAATACTCCTTTGTAGTCCTCTCCCTTCTCCTTTGATCATGCTTCCAGGTCAATATCTTGTGAGAGGCAGTCCTGACTCAAATGTATCCTTCAGCCTCCACCAGGCTCTGACAGCAGGTATCAGCTGTGGAAACAAATAAGTAAAGAACATTTCCTCCCAACCAAAGCCCTGCTATTTGACTCAAACAAGAAATCTGTCCTGGGGAGGAAAAATGCACAACAGAATCCACATGGAGAGTAATTTATTTTATTTATTTTTTTCCCATGCATCAGGTAGTGAGGAAGAATCGCTTTGCACAGGGAGCAAAGACAGGCTGAGCTTTGCAACAACCCAACAGAGACCCTGCTCACATTCATGGAATGATTAAGGTTGGAAAAAACCTCTAGGACCATCGAGTTCAACCATTAACTCAGCCAGGTCTGTTTCTTTCCCTGCCCCTGAAGATGCTCCAACAGCACAAACCACACTCAAACTGCACCATCTCCCTGGCACGGCAGCAGGAAGCTGCACTTCACTTTCTTAAAAACATGCCAGCCTTCATCCCCTCCAGCAAGGCCTCCACAAGAAACATGATCCAGGTTCCTCTGAGTTATTCTGAAGCATTCTGTGCTGCCTTTTTCCCCAAGCAGGCTGAAGAAATAAGCCAGGCTTCCCAGCAGGACACACACCCCGCCGTGCTGCACAAGGCCAGCTCGGTGTCACCATCCTCGGGACCTCACTCCCACTGTGCCTGGACAGGTCCCCTCTCCTGACTCACCCACAGCACTGGGGACAGCAATTTCTTTTTATTACAAGTCTCTGCTGGCTGGAGAAAATGACTGCCTTCACTTGAAGAGATGAGTCCCACATATGCAGTGCTGTAAAACATAACCCAGCATGCAGGAAAGCTCAGTTTTACCCAGGGATTCTTCCTTCAGGACCCATCCTGACAGACAGTCTGCACACAGCTCTTCCCTTTCCAGTGCTCCTGGGCATTCCATGATCTTTGCATCCCTGTCTGTCTGCAGCTGGACCCACTGCATCCAAAGTCAAGGCCAACAGCCCATCTTCCATCTCACCCCACCTCCTTCCAAACCAGTGTTCACAATTACCTGCCCACTCCTCCCTGCCCTGAGCTCCCAAGGTCAGAGCTCACAGACTCTTCCAGTTTGCACAATCCTCGTTGTTACAAAGGTGTGGAAAATGCAATTTTCCCCCATTCTTGTGCACATTATTTGAGCAGAGGAGCAAACCTCACCACTCCACACGCACATGGACCTGCAGTAAAAGGCAGCCCATGCTCTTGGCTCTCCAGGAGAAGCGCCTGTATTGAGGATTTTACCAGAACCCACCACAAACAGTAACAAGGACTAGGTAACTGTAGCTCCCACGGGGGAAAATGTAACCTTTCAAATGCTTTGAAAAACACTCCTGAGAATTTCTTGGGAACAGCACACACCAGGATCAATTTCTTATTTCAGGCTCACATTGAGCACCTCTTCCTTGGAGATGAAATTCTGTCAACACAACCCCAAAACCAACCTGAGCATTATTTTCCCTGAGCAAATGCAACAAAAGCTGTTGGAGCACATCAGGAAAATCCAGGCAGGAGAAGGATGTGACAGCCCAGTTATGAGTAACTGCTATTCCTCAAAGTGCAGTTAACACAAATTCTATCAGCAAACCAATGCTCACGTGACAAATGGAAGTTCATTTTACACGGAACAAGACACAGTGTACTAATGCTCCCAGAATTTAACTGTAATTAAGTCTCGCTGACAGACACCTCATTAAAGCGCCACTTCTCCAGAAAAATTAATAAAGTGAATTATTTCCTACATGTGAAATATCAGGGTTTTTCACTGCTCATGAAAGATACATGGAGTTCAGTTCAGCTGGATGTCACTGCTCCCCGGAATGAAGGAGTGACATGCTTAAAAAGACATTTAAAACAACACATTGCTGTGCTGCCAAAACCCAGGCCGAGATGCTCAGCTCCTGAACGTTATTTTATCCTGTGATGGCAGAAAATAAAACCCCTGAAACACAATTCTTCTTCCAGCAGATACAGACAGATAGATACATAGATAGATGAAATAGGCTTGTTATTAGAAAACCAAACTAAATTAAGATAACCTAATTTTGGCCAAAAAAAAAAAAAAAAAAAAAAAGGATTCTCCTGACCCAAAGATCCAGTTTTCAAATTGCAACTTTTTGGGGTTTAAATGCTTCTTATGTGATGAACAGAGGTTCAGCCACTGATGAGGGGGGCAGAGGGCTGAGTGTGCCCAGGACCACAAGCCAACACACATTCCTCTGCACTGGGAGATGGCTCTTTGAGGCACATTTTAATCAAACTTCTCTGAGGTAATAGCCAATACAAAATGAGCTAAAAAACATGGAGCTGATCAAGATGTGCCCAGTAATGAATGCCTCAGTTTTCAGAAGGGAAGGCCAAGCTGCAATTCCTTGCAAAGGAAAAACCACAGAAGCTTTCCAAGAGATTTTACAGTCCTTTTCTAATTGTTCCCTTTTTCAACATCATTATGCAACCTCCGTGTGCTTTCCTGCTTCTCTACCCCCTTTTATTTCACCCGTTCTCCCCCCACCAACTTCTTCTAAATGTTCTGAGGCAGCTCCTTTAAGACAGCCAGAAATACAGTGCAGATTTTTCTCTCCTCCTCCTCCTCCTCTCAGTTTAAACTGCCCAAATCTTTCCGGTGAAGAAACATTGCCCAAAATCTGCTCACTATTCAAGCAGCCCTGGCAATGACAAGCAGCACTTCATGAATCATCTGTTATATATTGCCTTATCAACACGGTCCACTGCAGGAGAAAGTAAACCTGGCCCACTTTGGGCTTGTGCATAACACAATCAAAATGCAAGTGGCATTAATTACAGGAGGGCTCTGAGGAGTTCCCTCATCCAAGGATCCAATATAGGCTATATAGATACATACTTATATATATATACACATCTATATATACATACATATGTGTATGTATTTGAGACAACCTAAGTCGACCCAAAATGCTAACAGCCATTTCCTCCCCCATCACACACAGCTTTTACTTTAATATTTTAAAAGACTGCTTACCCCTTTTACTGGTTACCAATATTGCTACATTTCTAATTTTTAAAGCAGACAGCGTTAGTGTTCCTGCTGTTTGTCAGCTTCAGCTATTTGAGGCAAACACACATATTTTTATGGGTTTTTTCCCCCGCAAGCTCAGCAAGAGAGGGGAACCTTGCACTGCTCTGTTACCTTGCATGGCTCTGGAGCATGCTTGGACCTGGGGAAGCTGGAAGCAAAGGTAAATGAAATGGAGAAGCTATCCATGAGGGAAGTGGGCTCAAAACTGAAAAGCAATTGTGAATTCAGTGACAAGACAAACCTCACTGGCTTCTCTGCCCAGTGGAACACATCCTTACAAAAGCAAAAACTCAAGGGGTTCCAGCAAGACTCTGATAAAATCTAAACCCACACAGACCTGTTAGCAGGATTTTAAAATATGATGGAAAAGTGATGGGAAAACTGGAAACAAGCTAAAGGTGAACTGGCAGAGCAACAAAGTAGAATGTGACACCACTGAAGAAGCCAGCAAGAAGAATACTTGGCAAATATTTAACAAATGTCATTACCAGTGGCCCAATAAAATGTTCAATTAATATTTCCCTGTGGTTTGGGACAAGCTCTGCCATTTGAAACAGGCCAGCAACAGATCCCACTGAGCAAATAAACTCCTTTGTGTATACTCAGCCATGGGTACAAGATGAGTGAAATACAGTCCCGAGCTGGGGTTCATATTTTTTTAATACATAAATATAAATACACAATGCCAAGAAATGCACAAACACTTCTTTAGCTGGAGGAGGACACCAAAGAAGCGTTTTAACCCCAAGATTAAGCTGGCACAGCTGGGCAGTGAGCACTCATTTCTCAGACCCTGAAGGGAGCATCACTTAGCCCACACTGACCCAGGGTAACCTCAACAGCACATGGGACAGCTGGTTACAGTGACCTTACAAAGGCACAGTGTGGCATGCCAGCATGAGGGAAAGCTGGAAGATGAAGGAAAACTCCTGAAATATTTGATTTATCTCATCTTACATATTTATGGGCAAGTTTTAGTCACAACACTTTGTTTGCAAGCTGTTTGGGCACTTCAGGTACAGAAAGTCTGCAGCTTCCCCTGATTTGAAACCTGCAAATGAACCTCGAGGACAAGTTTCAAGTACCACAGCAAGTTTCTGGATCACAGATACACCTTAAGCTGGCTTTAAAAGGCCTATTCCCCAGAAAGCACAAAGCATTTGAAAGAGAGATAAAGAGAGCAAACTGAGCCAAACCCACAGGCAATTTTAACCTTTGTTTTGAACAAGTCCTGCTCCTCATCCCTGCAGTCCCACAGAGGGGTTTAAGGTTGAAGACTCAACAACAGCTTTTCAGCAGGTTATAAACAGGCAGCTCCTGTGCTTCCACCTCTGCCCATGGGAGGAAGGGTGGAAGGCTGGGTGGGGAGGGTGGGCAGGCCCTGGCACAGGGTGCCCAGAGCAGCTGGGGCTGCCCCTGGATCCCTGGCAGTGTCCAAGGCCAGGTTGGACACTGGGGCTTGGAGCAGCCTGGGACAGTGGGAGGTGTCCCTGCCCATGGCAGGGGTAGGATGGGATGGGCTTTAAGGTCCCTCCCAACCCCACCTATTCCATGATTGTATGGCCAGAAGAACAGGCACTGACCGTGGGGCTGCAGTCACTCTGCTCAAGCTGCTGCTCTCCAGGAGTGGGCAAACCACGAGGCTGGCACGTCACGGGCTGGTGCTGAAAGCAGAACAACCTGACAACTTGGGCAAAGCCTCCACCAAAAATCATCCCTTAGCTAACACAGTTCCATGGGACAAGCAAACCTTCACAGTCCAGATGCTCTAAGGGCTCAGGAGGCAGTCTGGAGTTCAAGCCCTTAAAGATTTGGGCAAAACATGTTTCTTCAAGACAACCCACTGCCATCTGCTCCTACCTAAATATCTCCTATCAGGTCCTGCTACCAGGTAACTTCTGCAGGAGTTCATCAATCCCCAGGTGTCTGTAAACACATCACTACTAGTTTAAGAAAAACCCCTCATTCTTGTATTTACCTTTTCTTGTATTTACCTTTTCCTGCTGTTATTGCACTGCTGGTTTTTATCTTTTCTGCATTACTGGGATGTTGCCTGTGAAACATAAGCACACCAGAGTGTTGCATCTTCACCAGCACAAAGACTATGCAAGAAACTAACCTTACTGTTTTCATTTACTCTTGGAGTGGTTTGGGTGAAAAGGAACCCTAAAGGCCATCCAGTTCCACGCCCTGCTATGGGCAGCGACAACTTCCCCTATCCCAGGCTGCTCCAAGCCCTCTCCAACCTGGCCTTTCTTTATTTTCCTGGTGATTCACCATCAAAAGGCAAGCAAGAAAGTGAAACTAATTTCCACTATGGAGGCCACTGGCATCCCACACCAGGACCTGTTATGTCCCGCCCTGGACACTCCCTGGGCTCCTCAGGAACTTGGTAACTCACATCTGGCAGTTCTCCTCTGCTTTAGGATAGTCTCATTAGGAGATTTTAGGAGGTGGCAGCACACCGACACAGGCTGCCCACCCGACTTCTCCTCCCAAGGGAATACCAGCTTTTCATGCCACAAGTGTGCCTTCCTTCCACGCCTCCATCCCACTGAGCAAATGACAAATTCTTCTGGTGTTTTGAGCTGATTTTCAAAATGCTTTCTCTAATCTGTCTCCCTTCTAAAGCTAAGTCCTGAAGTAAAACAAACAAAAAAACAGGGTGGCAAAGTTAAAATAGTGGAGATTTAAAGATATTTTTTCCCTAAGTTTAGACCACCAAGGGCAGAGCTTAATATCAACACCGGGAATCTGTTAGATGCATATGCCATCCAAGGACAGAGGGAAAAAGCAGAGAATCCTGGAAAGCTGCGTCTTCCACATTTCACTTTACCCAGAAAATCTGCAATCACTAAAACTTACTCTAACTGGGTGGCATTTTACATTTCCAAATGTAATTGAGTGAGCGTGTTGCCATGGCGACAGCAGGGTTCTGCAATAACTTTGTTGCCTTGTAATTGCTGTATATTTGTATACAAGCAGCTGAGCTTTCTTTAATTCAATGCCCTCAACTCTTCCAGCAAGGCTGCGGAGCGACGGCAGCAGCTTTTTAGGCTGAGAACTCCGAGCAGCGGTGCTGGAAACATCAGAAACAATTAAAACTCAGCGCCGCGACCGACCGCATTACACACACACACACACAAAAAACACCCCACCAGGAAACCCGGCCAAGAACCAGATTATTATATAAACTTCAGAGCTCCTTAGCTTTTAAAAATGTTGCCGTTGCAACGACAACAACAACAAGCAAGAAAGAAAAGCACAATTCGGATAATTAACTCCAGGTAGATTTGGCAACGAGCGAAGCACTTTGAGGGCAGGGAATAAATGCAGCACGAGCCCCATTTATTGAGGGCATAATACCAGTAAATCAAAACGCCTTGGCCAGGGGATCATTCACTCGCTGTGGCTCCCGGGGCCAGAATAAGGCTTGCTCCATCTCCCCGGCCTCCAAGCAGCGCTGTGAGGACAAGGGGATGCAGCTGTAGGGAACGAGCACGGCACCGTGCTGCCTGGTGGGAAAGAAGCGGCAAGACGGGAGAGAGCCAATGCCTCGCCGCACGCCCCATCCCAGGGTTTTACAAGGCGTTTTCACACCCTGAATCCACCCACACCTTCCCGACACGGATCCCCACTCCTTGGGAGCGTTTTCAGAGCTGTAATCCAGCCCGGAATATGAGGCAAGGCTGGAACACGAAATCCTCCCGTACGGGCGTTAGCGACGACGAGCCTGATTTATGCAAATCTGCCAAAACAGCCTATTGACAGGCAAAAACCCCACCGAAAGCAGCTCCTTCCCCGGCCGCGGAGTGGGCGCACGACACAATTACGCAAGTGCTTTCAGCGAAAGGCAGGTTCCCTTCCCCTCCAGCCGCTGCCCAGCGCCGAGCACTGACAGCGTCAAATTATTGTTATGTAAATCCATCTGCTCCGCCGAGCTGTCACCGACACCCCGGAGAGCACATCTGGGCCGGCGGGCAACATTTCGGGGGAGTGCGGGGATCGCGCAGCATCTTCCCCTGATAAATCCCTGCAGCAAAACCCACATGCGGCTGCCGGGCAACACCTCCCTCTGCCGCGCTCCTCCGCCAGCCCCACAGCCCGGCTCCTTCTGCTTCGCTTCGCCCCGCGCAAGCCAAGCCTGGAGGATTGGCAGCGGCACACGTGGTTCATCCCTCCTCGAACCCCCAAAAACGGAGTTCTGGCGGCGAGGCTGCAGCCCTAGGCCTCCGACCTGAGACCGCCACCGCCGGGCTCCCCGAGAGCGCCGCGCTGCCGAGGGCAGCGCTCCCCGTTTGCTCCTCGCGGGCACAAAAAAAGCCATTTTGGGGCTTTTTTTCCAGGAGGAGCTGAGTGCCGCGGGGCCCGAGCCCGGCAGCTCCGGGGAACGGGGCGAGAGGACGCAAACTTTCCCCAAGTCCCGCGTTATTCCCAGGATAAGGGCAAGGCAAGGAGGCGCGGGGGGAGAGGATGGAAGAACCGACCCCGGGCCGCGGCCCGCCCGGCGCCGCAGGGCCCCGCCGCGGGCGTCGGGGGGAGAGGATGGAAGAACCGACCCCGGGCCGCGGCCCGCCCGGCGCCGCAGGGCCCCGCGCCCCCGCCGCAGGGCCGCGCCCGCCCCGCCGAACCGCGGGGCCGAGCCCCCGTGCGGCGCTGCCCGCGACCCACCGCTCGCTCGCCCCGCCGGTCACTCACCGCTGCCCGCATCGCCTCGTCTCGTCTCGCCTCACCCCGCACGGACCGAGCGCCGCCGCCGCCGCCGGGGGGGACGAGGCGGAGCCGCGGCCGCCCGGGAGGGGCGGGGCGAGCGCGCGGGGGGGCGGGGCTGCAGGCATCGGCGGCCCCGCCCGCCCCATTCACAAAAAACCGGTCCCCGCGCGCTGAGTGGGCGGCGGCGCTGCCCGTCACGCCCCCCGCGCCCCGCCCACCCCG